CAACAAACCTCCGCCAATGATGGCCTCAATGGTGATGTTGGAGGCGTCGATCTCTTTGGTGAACTCTCTAACGGCTTGAGTGGGGTCTTCATAGGTGTGTGGATCGACGTAAGAGCGCGAAGAAGCGCAGTGTGTGAACAGTGGGGTCGTCACCGAAAACGGCGAATTGACTGCAAATTATACAATCAATTTGTTTTATAAATAAAAGTTTTCTCAAAATCCGTGCCATTATTTTGGTGTTTATTTAAAGGCATAAAAGTCTTAATAATAATAAGAAAACGCAAAATCCTTTTTCACTCAAAATGAAATCCTTTAATAAATAATATGATAAAAATATTACTTTAAGATTTTCTTGCGCTAAATTCGAGAGAGAGAGAGAGAGAAAAGTCTTAATAATAATAAGAAAACGCAAAATCCTTTTTCACTCAAAATGAAATCCTTTAATAAATAATATGATAAAAATATTACTTTAAGATTTTCTTGCGCTAAATTCGAGAGAGAGAGAGAGAGAAAGAGAGAGAGAGAGAGAGAGAGATTTCTGCATCCCTTTTGACTCATCCCTAAGACGTTTAGATAAGGAATTAGATATAATTTCTGTTCAAACAGAGCCTTAATCTTCGGCAGAGTATTAGTAGAGAATAGGAAAAAATAAACGAAAAATAGAGAAAAAACTAATGAATGTTCAATAGAGAGCTAATTTCGTAACAAACAAATAAATATAACAAATATAAACTCTGTTTTGTATGGCTATAGAGTAGAGCCATCACAGGGTTTATAATAAATATCTTTCGCCCAAATGGACGCTTCAAAACACACATTCAATTCAATTCGTGAGTGAATGAGAAAAATACAACAAATCTATGAAAACTAAGAGAAAAACTAAATCCCAAAACTCTAACGCTATTTATTTCAAAATAAAAAAGTAAAGATTTTTAGAGTAAAAATAGAGTTTATTATCAGAAATAAATAAATAAAAACTTATTTTTCATCCGAAAACTATAGAAAATTTCATCTGAAAGAAGGATAGAGTGGGAGAGACAGAGAGGAAGAGCAACAAAAATGAGATAAATAAACGGGCCATTAGTTGGAAAGTCTATTAACTCTATTGAATGGTTGGAGTAATTGTGGGCCAAAATAATGATTAAATTTTAAAGAGTACTTTAGAGATAGCGCTTTAAATTGCAGTGTTTAGTGTTTAGTATTATCAAATTGTTAGACTGGACTTACATCGTGCAGCCGGCACAAGTACGTCTACAATTGGTCCTGGTACCACTGGATTATTCAAACCACCACCACAATCACCGAAAAATAAAAATTACACAATCTTATGTTAGTATTTTATAATGGATTAAAATTAAATAAATATTTTTTATATAATATTAATTGTTCTGATTTAATAAAAGTATTTGTAAGAAATATATCAAATAACTAATGCATTAACCAATGATTCGTGTACTGGAAGTTAGTAATAGTAGCCGTAAATGGATTACATGTGTTATTTGTATATATGGTAAATGTTATATACAAGCTTTCCGAGTATATCAATGCAATCTATACCGTATTGTCTATGAAAATGGTATAAAACTAAAAGGAATTGCTGTATATATAAAAGGGAAGAGAATTGAAGGGATGGATAGACAGAAGACAGAGAGATAGCGGAGATGTAAAGAGAAAATTGAGAGACAATTCGGAAAGGAATTGTGTGTTGAAAAGAAAAGCAATATTGCATTGCATTTAAGTTCATTATCCAAGAGGACGGTTACGGAGAGTGTTGTTATATAATAATAATAAAGTTAAGACAACTCTAGTATAGAGTAGAGCAGCGATGGAATGAACCGAAAATATTGTTATGGTTTCGGGAGAGAGAAAGATAGAGAAAACGAGAAATAAAACATATAAAAATACAGAGTAAAACAATATATTACTTTTTGCTATAATTTTTCGGTTCGTTAAACACATACAGAAAATAAAAGTATAAAATGGGAGCAAAATATATATTAAATGAAACAATATATTAGACAGAAAACAGAAAATATTGTATTTTTCAATTGTGTTCTAAGAGTGGAAAAGTGAAGAAAAGAAATATATTTATATACTGTATAAGAAATAAAACAAAATTAAAACACAATTGAAAATTAAATTTCTTATTCAATACATAAAAAAGAGTGAATAATATATGAGATATTCATTCAAATGCAATATTCAGTCGATATTAAGTGTATTTATTTTAGAGACAATTCTTTGGCTCTTAAATACATTTAACAGAAGTTTAATAAAAATAGATATTGAAAAATCTCGGGGGAAGGCATCAAACCATCAAACGAAAGAAAGTGAAGGGGAATCGCATTCTCTACACAATATAAGTCGAGTCGTTTGACTTCCAGGCATAAAGAGAGAGAGAGAGAGAGAGAGAGAGAGAGAGATGAATTGTATGCACACAAAAAGCATCTCATCTTCTCTTCTCTTTGCTTTATATTTTATACATTAAAATAATTGCATTTTAATTAAGAATAATGAGAGAGAGAGAGAGAGAGAGAGAGAGAACAAATAAAGAAAATGCAAAACATATTCCCAAATACTAATGTAATCACAATTGAAAAGTAAAATACAAAATATTTACAAACCAATTGTTATGAAAAGAAAAAAGACAGAAAATATATTCAAAAATATAACAAAAATCAATGCTTTTTCCAAATAGGAATATAAAACACAAAAAACTAAAAATAGATATATTTTAATATAAAACAGAAGTCAAAGCAAAAAATATTATGTTTTGAATAAAATATGATATGAAAAATACGTTCAAAAATAGTACTTTATATAAATGTCTTATGTATTAGTGGATAAATGATAAAAATAGTGGGATAAGCGACGATAACTTACATTTCTTGCCGTCGTTGACATTCCTGTACTCAAGTGTATCGCAATCGGACTGTTGTTTCTTATTGCAATCGTCACCACTTCTGGTCCAAAAAACAAACACACATTAGATATCATCAAAACAATTGATACAATCATTCAAAGCAAAAGAGAAATAAAAAATAAATATAAAAAACGAATTATCCCATAAATTAAGAGATAATTTTGTTTTCAAAGTTCAAACATAACAACTCTAATCGTATTGTTATGTGAAAATATATAAAATAAGAAGAAAGTTTAATTTCATTATAAAACAACACATTATATTTGATTTAACAATTACTGGTATTATGTATCTTAAAGCAAATATAATGTGAAATGTATATAGCCTACAAAATCAATACATAAAAACCCAACTATAGTTTTAGTATTAAAAACAACAAAAAATTCTCAGACACTATACACAAAGCATTTGTGCGGAATTTAATATATGTTTCAAATTAAAAAGCAATTCTGTGGCACTAGAATCGAGACAATGAAAAAAAGCATTCACTACTAGTTTGTCGTTTAGGTCCTCTTTTAAGGCTATTAAACGATACAAATTCTGTAATAAATTCCAAATACTATATAATATGTGAAACCAAACCTCTCTACCAGTGGTTTAGATAGTGTTGTAATTGAAAATTAAATTAAATTCTTTAACGCTTGCACTAATGTCTCGGCGAATCCCGACACAAAAACTAGTGTTTCTATCGCATAACGAAACTATTTAAAACATTTCACTCGATTACAAAAACCCGTAACAAAAACTTGAGTTTTATTATTAAATTAAAAGTTAATTATAAAAAAGTGTGCGAATATTTGATGGTAAGGTATGTTTGAGCATCAATTCATTCCCTCCCCTAATAAGTGAAGTGAATTTTTGTGACTAATTTTGAGCGCCAGAAACGAGAGGAAACATAATTGAAAATAATTTGCTCCCAATTAAGTTATTCATAGGATGTGTTGTGGACTCGTGTCTCCGGTATTCATGAGACACAACACGATAGGAATCGCGACTAATTGACGGCTCAGTTGTGTTTATAAGGCGTTCCTCGACTCCATGTATAATAATTAGCGGACACAACACAACACAACACAACTCACACCATAACATCGAGTCATACACACAATCAGAATGTGTGAGAGAAAGAGATGAGAGGATAGGGATGGCAATAGACATACCTTCTCAAGTAGAGCACAATCATGACAATGATTACGACCAGTACTACCACTGCTAGCGTTACTCCGGCGATAATTATCCGCACTTGTACTGAATCGTCATCTCCTGCTATGTATGCTATGGGGAGACAACAGAGAGAGTATAGAGATGTTAGTCTTGGAGATCAGTTCATATAAAACCCAATTAAATGACAAGAGTTTAGAGATTCGTATTGAAAGTGAGAGTAAAAGAAACGCCAGAGAAAAGGATAGCTTTAATAAGAAAACACTTGAGATATAGATAAGAGAAGAATAAAAGAATAAATTGTATTCAGCAATTGGAGAGAGAGAGAGAGAGAGAGAGAGCGTAGATATATCTGTGACTTACTGAAGAATATTCTGATGTTTATTTCCTGTCATTCTCTACTTATTTACAATAAANGAGAGAGAGAGAGAGAGAGAGAGAGAGAGAGACTGTTAGCGAAACAAAAAGACCAATAATTAGTGCCTGGATTTTAATTTCGAGATCGAGAGTGAAAAATAAATTTAATTAAAAACTATAGCAAATTGAATGGCAGTAAAGTAAGTAGTATTGAACTGAAAACTCTTGTCGCCGCAAATGGATTGTATATATTTATTGTGCAAACAAAACAAATTCACTCACCAGTGGTGCCAATCAGTTGTCCAGTGGTTTTCGTTACGGGTTTACTGTATTCTCCCCAACCATTAGCGGTCTTCACCCGAACCTAAACCACGAAAATACACAAAACATTTATAATTGAATTATTTTGGAGAATGATTGAGAAATTAGATCAAAATTAGATTTTTCCTTATAATTTATATCAATGAAAATGAAAAAGTTGGAAATAAAATGCCTAAATTAGCCATAGATTTATGTTTTATGTTATATACAAAACTTCTTTCATTACTTTCATCGCATTCATTATAGCCATTATTTGGTATAAACTAATGTTTAACACAATTAGATACAATTGTATATGAAATAATCAATTTATATGTTTGTATCGATTTTATACTGCATGTACTGCATATGGGATAAAAATATACGTTTTGAATCAAATATAATAATTCAAAACATGTATTATTTATACACAAAAAAACGTAAAATACAAATATAATGAATGGCTTTTGGGTTAACAATATAAATATATACGTTTGATGTAATCACAAAAAATTGAAGAAAAATTAAAATATTTATGGAATCCAATGAATGCTATGAGAGAATCATATCTAATGTATATTTGAGTGAAAAATTGCCTATTTTTCAAACATATATAAATCTTTTATTCATTTCAATCAAATGTATATAAAAAATACTTTTATTCACAATATATATCGTATGAGAGTTTGAGAGAAAATATAACTAATGGATAAAAATGTGCGGAAAATTCCTAACCATTGCACAGAAAAATGAGAACCAAATAAAAAATTGAACAAAAATTGTAAAAAATGCCAAAAATTCTCTCATTAAAAATAACTAAAAAATAACAACAAAACTATTATTAACCGCAGAAATTCATTTTGATATTCATTTCATGATTTTATAAAATATATTAATATCAAGTACCGTAATATCCCATAGACAACGCGCACCCCGTGTATAACGCGCAGTACAAAATTCAACAATATTTTTGAATAAAAAATCAATCGTAGATAACGCGCACCTCGTGTATAACGCGCATATCCTCTACTATATGTTTAAACTTATTATGTTACGCGTATTTTTAGAATATAATTCAAAACAAAATATAGTGATTAATTGTTGTAATTAAATAAATTTTAAACAATTAAAAACAACAAACAAAATCATTATTGATTTTGAATCTGATAATATTGATACAGAAGACATGTTATCTAGATATTAAATATTAGAGATGTGTTCAGAATCAGGTATTGATTTTGACTGATTTGATTGATTTTTATACTTATTATAATTATATTTATTAATAAACTAGAATATTTTAAAAACACTTTTTAAAATACTTTTAAAATAATTTTAAAATACTTTTTGTGTGATTTATTTTTAAACCACATATAACGCGCACCCCGTAGATAACGCGCACCACTAATTTTGGCAAGAAATTCACTTTTTTCATTAGATAACGCGCGCGTTGTCTATGGGATAATACGGTAATTATGGCTATAAAATATATTTTAGGAATTTTTCAAAAAATAAAATAAAATGCATTTAAAATATGTTAAATTAATTATATAATGATAACTATCATAATCGCAAACCTGGAAAGAATATTCTGTTTTTTGCCGCAAATTCGTGACAACCGTTTCGTGTCTTTCCTTATTGACGATAATTGTGGACGAATTCTTGTTCTCGTTATGTTTACTGTAGTATTTCACTTCATATATGATTATATCATTGAGATGCTGGTCGTCGGGCCGATCCCAGGCCAATACCATCTCTGTACTCTTCACGGACACCACCCGAACGTTGGATATAGTGGTGGCGGTGCTGGTCGTCGCCGGCATAGCTGTCATTCAATAAACAAAAATTATATATAAATATTGCATATTTATTTATAAGACGTGAAAAATAATGGGAATAATAAATAGTGAAAAATAAACATGATAGAAAGGGAGAGAGAGAGAGAGACCTCGATATATAAATATTAGGAAATCATATATCATATGATAAACGACTGGACACAAGACATACAAACGGAAGCGCCTAAAAGCGAAAGTCGTTTATTCACTACTTCTGAGAGCAAACATAGAGTTCAGCACAAAATATGTACAAAAGAGAAGAATCAAAGAAAATACTTCTCAACACAAATATTTCAATTGATAGTCAATACAAATAAAAGGGGGAAAAGATTTTTGTGCGGAATTTATATGTCGTTTGCGAGAAAAATATTTATATTCCTTCTGTTTATACATATCGTTATGTTTTGTTATATGAAATGATTTATTGACACAAATATAGAAAGAAAACTATCCATTAAAGAGAGTCTCAATCTCTTGACTTTGATTTTGCTTCAAGTTATGGATTATTATTTTTCATGTAATAAATATCAATACATATATGCCATCAGATGTGTTGCAGTGAACAGAGACTTAATAATCATTTTTATGCAAAATTCAAATAAATATTGAGAGCACTGTCTCTGACAGACAGACACATTGATCGAGAGCTAAATAGACCAAAATGAAAAGGTGTGAAAAATGTATTTTTATGCCATTCCTTTGCTCTCACATACTATTCAAATCCTAAATATAGCCTAAAATTATTGATTTTTAAGGTTTTCGTTATCAGAGCCTATGTTTCTGTGATTCTTTGGCACCGAAATGATCATCGGTTAGGGAGTAGTGGTAGTGATAGTTGTATTGACAGCACCGGGGAGTGTGTGTATTGAGTGGATAGTAAAATAAGTTGTCAAATAATATGTGATAAGACGACTACCACTCTTCATATTCTCGTATTTGATACCCAATTATTAGAAAAATGTTTTATAAAGAAATGCACTAATATTTAGACACCAGAATAGGTCTCAACCGAAACAAGCATTTCATGAGACTATTTATTAAATAAGCGCTAAATTGAGGACTCAAATGAAAATATATGTATCGATACGTGTTTTCTGGTGTGACTGAGAGATAGATAGAGGACAGGGAGGATAGGGAGGGGGTTTGGGAGAGTGTGAGAGCGCAAAAAGGAAATACATGTATTGAGAGATAGACTGATAGACATAACAAATACGATATAACGACACATAAAAATAAATATCAATTATTCTCTCTGTTGTGAATTGCATTCACTCTTCGCTAATATATATGACACAAGAAAAAAGACTACAAGTGCTTATATCTATATACAGACCATTATATTTCTGTCCGGAGCCGTCTTCAGTGATGGTGACCAATGAGATATAGCCTGCAATGAGAGAGAACCGGGAGTTAGGCATACAATATATACACACAATGCGGGGGAATATAAAGACAAGAAAAACCTATTATATCGACAGCACAAGAGAGGCTATTATTTGTGACGATAATAATAGACAACAACTAAACAGTAGCGGACACTCCAGAGAGGAACTAACGATTATTTATTGGCCCAGAATTTGGACACAAAATACACATCAAAAAACATGCAAGACTTTTAGTGAGCGCTACTTATTTAGGTGAAGTGCATTGAGATTAAGAACTGGATGTGTTATTGATTATAATGATAGTAATAGTGAATAGGGATGTGAATACCTGATGATTCGGTGGTGACAGTGATGTCGACGAATTGTGCCGAATCATAGCCCGAAACGCCATTTTCGGCGTAAACGAGGAACTTATAGGTAGTGACGGGATTGAGACCCGATATGACAACTTTGGTATCGTTGAAGCCCTCCTGTGCCGGAACATAGGTTACGGTCTGAGAGCACGCGTCACACGTTATCCGGTATACGGTGTCGTTGCGTCCGCCCTGGTATCGGGGCGGCGCCCACCACAGGATCACTGTTGACTGGTCCACAAAATTCACCGTCAGGTTCTGCGGCGCTGATGGAGGTTCTGGTTGTGGACATAGATATATATTATTTAGTATGTGTTGTGTTTCAAGTCCTTACAAATGCGAGTGTTGTTAAAAAAACAAGCGATAATTAATTGGGCACTCAATTTGTGGTGAAAATTAATTACTTATTTGTATTGCAATTAGTGTTTCTTCGTTTAAAATTTGGAGTTTGTTTTGTTTGTATTTTGTTTGAAAAGATGTGTTTTTTATTTAGGAAAATGTTAATTAAAATTGTATTTTAATTTTACAGATAATTTGAACAAAACCTCATATTTTGTTGTGAAGTCATATATTAATTGCTTTATATTTATTATGATATTGTGTTTTGGGAGATAAGCGGACTTAACACACAAAACATACAAAAAACAATCTACTATTTAAGGGCATAGACTCTATGGTTGTGTTGTAGAAAATGTATGAAAAAAAGACTATAAATATCTGTCAGGAAAACACTAATCAAAAATTCTCATCACATTCTTATAGTCATTAAAAAATTAGTATTTGAAACAAAAACAAAATATTACTACAATATGAAGAAAACCTCAATAATTACTATTTGTTTTGCAATTAAGGTATAAAACAAAAAATATCTACAAATATAATCACTAAAAAGCACACAATAATTATAATTAAATCTTAGATTAATAATTTTAATATTTATTAAAATAAAATAAATATTTTTTATTGTTTAGCATAAAAGGTCTGATAAATCATGGGATATTAGGGACAGGTATGTATGAATTAGTGGGTACTTACGTGTACAGGGAATCCATTTGGGATCCTTATGTGCCCGATAGTATCCGGCGTCGCACCGGCACTCAGTTGAGCCCCTGTATGGAGCGGTGCTATGTCTGGGACAGGGGCGACATAATTCATCACCAGTGACCGGCTTGAAGGTGGCGGGCGGACACACTGTACGCATGCAAATGTAATGACAGCACAGGTAGGGAAACGAGAAAATAATATATGAGACTTATATAATGGATATTAATTTAAGTCAATATAAACGAAAAATAATACATTTATAATCAGTTTATTTATTATGATTATAATAGTTATGACTCGAAGCCATTAAATTAATAATAAAAATAAGGTTTTTGTTTGAATTTTCAGAATATTAAATACTGTATATTAATAAAGAGAAAAATGCATTTATCTTCAGTTTAGATATTCAATAGATATTTAAAGGGAAATATAAATGGATTGAAAAATTGGTTTTGATTTTAGTTAAGGATGTTTTCAAGATTGTAATAATATCTCATGTTTTGATAGATTGGCGTGAAATTGATTTTTTATACTTCATGTCTATGCGAATGGGTTGGATGTAAACAATCAATATACGGCTAATTTTTAAATTAAATATTGATTTTATTCAATATTTAATTATCAAGAATAACT